AATACCTAAATTAAAAACTATTAGTATACTAATTTAAGTTTTTAAAAAAAAATTAACTAATAAAAGAGACATTTAACTAAAGTAATTTTCACTAATATTTGTTCTAAATCGTTGTTTTTTATCTGTATCTTCAGCTTTACTTCGCACTGTACAATTTATAGTTAAAAAACGCTGAAATTGTCGTTATTTGATAAATGTCACGAACTACTAACATCCTTCTCAAATAATATGTTGTTTTATAAGAGTATTTCAGTTATGTAAAAAACGTTCTAAAATAACATCTAAAATAAGGTACCATATTATCTTACAAGTCAGGTCATTTTCCAACCTAGTGTATCAGCTTGCTATTTTCTTGCGAAAGGAAAAAAAATCTAAATTTGTGGTTACCAGTGCTTCTAGTTATAGTCTGCTTTATTATGGTGTAGTGTCGTCTGTATGCACATGCTAACATCATTATAAGAATGCACAAAAGCGTGAAATATGTTTAAGGTATCGAAATTTTTAGATAGATGGAAATACAATACTTATTTCTTCAGCAAACGAACTTAATCTGTAACCATCTCAAAAATATAATTTATTTAATGTTTTAATAATGTAAATGAGCTATACTCAGCTTCATGGCTCCGCCTAACGTACGTAGATGGCTAGTGATGAGGACTAGTACAATTGTCCTTCCTCTGTACCTAGGAGTTCAGCAACCTCAACCTTGAGTCTGGATGTGTAGTCATCCGAGTTTGTGATAAACCTAGACCTTGCCGAGCTGCGTGCCCAGGAGGCGTTCTGATGGAACGTCGCTACAGGCAGTGCAGAGTGGAAACTGGGGTGCCCTTCTTACCGAATAACTGGATCTGCTCTACATCTAGTCTATCACAATACTATTTACATTTTATGAGACTTGGTATTTAAGGCCTGTCTCAGTAGGTTACCTGCCAGAAAACTTTAAGAGTCTACTTCAACAACATTCAACTGGTCGCTCTTTCTTGATGCAAGATTTTCCTAGATAGTTTTCAGGTAAGTATCTTTTATTCACGCCTAACTCTTTGAAATCTTACCGGAATTATCGCCAACGTTTCGTTGACTGAGATGCTATTCTAAATTTATCTGCACATAAAAGATGATATAATGAGTCCATTATTTAGTCATGTGGTTAGGGTTTCTGCTGATGCCTCGCTTTGGGTAAACTCTTTCTGAATCTCTTTAACTAATGGATAAGAGTTAGGCCGTAATGATATCAAGATATAGTTCTGATAATAGTTGGAAATGTTCAACTTGGTTTTACTAGAATAATTCATGAAACAATTTCAATTCAAATTTTCAAAATAATTAGTTATTAGTTTTAAATTCGGGCATCAAAACAAATATTTTACACATTTATCTCAAAATCACTAAAGTAAGTATTAATAAGTAACCTATAGAATAATTTTCTCTATTTTTAAATATGTTTAAGATATTTTCACTGAACATGCAGAAAGTTTGGATATATGAGATATACAATTCGCTTAATCTAATTATATGTTGCATAAACGCGAAAACGTTCTTAAATTTCTTATTATAGTATGATATTTAGTTCTACTTAAATATTAAAACATAATCATTAATACATTAATTCAGCGTCGGAAAATTACTGGTAGAAAGATGTTTTAATAACGATGAGGTTATTTATCACACCTTTTTAAATACATTACAAAAATAACACAAATATTAATATAATGATATAATGTTGCTGTATCAGAAATTCCTTTACCTTCCTCTTTTCAATTAGAATTTCTCTTTTCTTGGTGTAGCAGAATTTCGCCCATCCGAATATATCTTTTATCCATTATCCTCCTGTACCTAGATTTTTCCATTATCCCTTTCTATCAGCACTATTAATTTTTAATCTGATATCTTATTAAATGTTTATCAATTTACAGTATTTATTCCCACCAGCTAATTTTTCTATTTTTTAATAATGTTTTCATATTCACCAACCCACGATTTATAAGAACATTTTCTTGGGATCTCAATATTATAATGTCTACTAGAAATTAAGGGAAAATATGCTAAGAAAAACTAGGATTTTTACCCCTGCTTCTTGGTTTTGATGGTATAATTGTTAATTTGTTAATGGTAAAATCTGTTGCCTTTAGAGTGCAGACAAAACTTTTTCTATGACCCAAATGTTGCTTGAACATTAAATATACCAGGAATAAATTCATATAAACATACATTTATTTATTTAATTTGCTTATCAATCGTTGAAAGTGGAGACATTTTAAAATATATTTTCAAAATATCAGTTTTATTATTCACTTTCACTCCTATAAAATTATATCTTGGTATTTAAAACACCAAGCAAAGTTGACTAAACCGCCACAAGTTTTAATTTATTAACTTAAATGTTATCCTACGTTGATTTTAAATAAATGTTATTATGCAGCCGTAGCTTAACAACAGAAGGTGGAATGGGAAGACGGATTCGCTTGGTGGCATTATTGCTTTATCTGACTGTGTTTCCACTGGTCAACGCTGACGGAGGAGGATGGCATGGAGGATATGGAGGCTATGGTGGAGGATGGGATAGTGACCATATACTAGTTAAAAAGATCAAGACGACCTACCCAGTTCCACATCCTGTACCTGTTCCACACATTATTCCAATCCCACGTCTCGTAAAGGTCTTCAAACCTCTTTCCATCGGTCACCCTGTAGAACACCCACATGTTATTAACAAGGTCCAGCATATTTCTGTAGGCATACCCGCTTTGAAGTTCGTTCCAATTCCAGCGACTGTTCCGATTCCAAAATTGGTTCCCATTCCCATACCAATCCGGTTACCGAAACCTGTAGTAGTAACTCAACCAAAACCATATCCTGTTCATAGTAAATTTCCTGTTCCCGTACCCGTCAAAATTCCCCACCCTGTTGTTGTTCCTATTGTGCAAAAAATCCCAGTTCCTGTTCCTTTCCCAATCAAGAAACCAGTAAAGATCATAAAAGAAGTTCCTGTGTATATCAAGAAACCGTACCCTGTGTAGTAAGTACTTCTTTAAAATTCCTGATTTATATATCATATATCACATGGATAATTGTACTTTTTAAAAGCATAGCTGCAATTTATTAAACAAATAGGAAAGTACTGTTTTTTTAAACCAAACATTTCAAAGTTCATTCATCCGATTAGTGTGTAAATTCATATTCTTAGCTTCCTTAAGTTATTTTTGCTTGTGTGTGTTTTTCTTATAGCAAAGCCACATCGGACTATCTGATGTGTCTAACGAGGGGGAATCGAACCTCTGATTTTAGCGTTGTAAATCTGTAGACTTACCGCTGTCCCTGCGGGGGACTATTTTGCTTGTCTACTTTATAAATCGAAAACGACTATCGAGTTGTAATTGGTAATCGAATATTTCTAAGTTATCCATATATATACTATACAAATTAACTTTTATTTTTGACATAGCTTTACAATATTCCCTTAAATTTGTATATGAAGGTTTTATTACGTTTCAACAAATGAAAACTACCTCACAGATTAATTTATACAGATTTCTAACGTTTAAGGATGGATTTCTTATCCATTTATTTAAGAAATTCTGTATGCTGTGTGTTAACTAATCCTTAACAACATTTAAATTTGAAAGCATTTTAAATTGTGTATGTCTATTTGCCTTATATTAACATTGAAAATTAGAATAATAGACCTTAAAATAAAGGTTAATTAACTTTTAATTAAATACTCATTATTCTTAGCATTGAAGATAAACCCTGGAATGATTATGGAGGCTATGGTGCAGGTAGTCAAGTGAATAGTCATTTATCTGTGAATCCTGGCATTCACAAAATAGGCATTGGAGGCTATGGTGGAGGAGACTGGCAAACTACTGGAGGAGCCCATGGTTATCAAGAGAGAAATTATGTTACTGGTCAGGAATCTGACGATTTACAGAAGAGCTACCAGGACACAGGAAAAAGAACCACCAGTTTCATTACGGGGTATGGTCAATCTCAGTCTGCTAAGTCAGTTCCACAACAGTAACTTATCACTTGCACCACAATCGGAATTTGTACATAAGAAATTATTTTGAAATTCCTAGACTTCATATTATTATTGTTAAATATGTTTTCACACATTCTACTATCAAAAGCCAGTGTTAATGTCGAACAGGAAAATGATTCGGAAAAACCTTTGATACTAAAGTGTTCAACATTTTATTTCACTACTTCTAATGATAATCCCCTTGGGTTTGAGCGAGTACGTTTTTCTTGAACGAGTTGACTCTGTATTGTCATTGGCGTAACCGGGAATGACCATAAATCTGTATGGTAATTGTACAAACTGTCCCAAAGATTTGTGATTGTCCAGTCAAGAACTTCAACAAGTGGTTGTGAAGAATGTTTTGATTTGTGTTTGATTTAGACTAATTTATTATTTAGACTCGTGTTTGGTGTGTTGTTACCTTCTTGACTCACTTATCTTTTACTTACAACGATTTTATGACAATATGAAATTACTAATCCATTCTGTGTAATATTTTATTCAAACTTCAGCTTATATTTTATATATATATATATATATATTTGTGGTCATGTTGTGTGTATATCACACGCTTAACATGGTATATTATAAAATGCATTTTTGTAAAGGTTAAATCTTGAGCAGTGCTCATGAAGGTTCCGCTCATTAAACAACAAAGTTTGTTTTTAATTTTTTAATGCTGATACAAAGTTCTTCTTGTAATTTATATTGACAATAAAATATTCAATCAGAAACAACTGTTATTAACGTTTTCCTTTGAAAATTATAATATTATAATGAGTGACTTTGCATAACAGACACTTCGTTCATCATTACTTTTAAACGCTGCCTAAAAGTTGGAAAATTGAAAATCTTAAAATATAAATATATTTTGAAATCATAAGTTCATTTGATTAGGTAAATATTATCACTGAATTGTATTCATCAGTATTTTCTTATTGTTGCTGTTTTTGATATCCTCGTGTTATGACAACAAAAGAATTAAACAGTTTTTCAATATCGGTACAATATTTTACTTGTAGTATGTTTAGGTAAGCATCCAGTAATGTTTCGAACTAGAAGCTGTTGTTACTTTGAGAAACTACTTTTTACAGATTAAGCTATTACTAATAGTAAAATATATCTTACTGTGTAACTTAAGAAGTTATGAAACAAGTTTGATAAATAAAGATAAAATTATTAAAAAATTCACACTAAGAATGTCTTGGTAAATAGTAAGAGTGAAAACATTAACGTTAATACTTAAAATGTGAAAGATAAATAAATTGGACAGTCGTTTCTCATGTCTAAAGTACTCTAATATAAAAGAGTATGGGACATTAACATGGTGAGCAAAAATATTAATAGCATATAGATTGCTGTATAAAATGTGTAAGAATATAGATTCCACATACAGAAGTTCAACAAAGTAGAGAAAAGAACAAGTCAATAAGTAAATTCCGAATGTTGCATTTTACTCTACGTAACTTTATGTAACTTTTGAGAATTAGCACTGTATAAAAACTTACAAACTTTTCTAAGTGCTTTTAGCGGGTCAGAGGAACTAATATACTAATAATAAATTTGAAACCATTAGGTATCTTTCGATTCAACAATTTTCACTGAGTTATAAGGATTTCGGGGAATTCCACTTCTCATCATTAACCCTAGACAAGGGCAAATCGAAAGAACTAGGTCTCTTACATTGATGAAGTATACATTATAAATGTGGTGTTTTTGAGATTCTTTACAGTGAATCTAAGTTTATATAGGATTTGAAGAATGAATCTTTGGCATCAATGTTACATATTTCTCAGCATCTTTATAAGCATAGGTTCACAGTAGTGGGTAAATAACAATTCAAAACACCATAAGAAAATATAATAAATTAGATGTTAGAGATAAAAAAAACTTAATTATAATTGCATTTTAGTTCAAACTAATACAAAGAAGTCAGATTCAAAAATTCAGAAACATAATGTTGAAGAAAAATCAACAAAAACATAAACATCTTTATTTGGGGTTACAATTTTGAGGTTTCTTCACGTGCGTAATGTTTCTAAGTTGTTTTCGAGCCACAAAAATGCATATTCATATTTTCAATTAAATAGAAAAAATATTTTATTATTATTACAGAATACTCTATTGTGGATTTGAATAAGAAATACTGGAAAGACTACAAATACGAACTAGGGCCAAAAGATTTTTAGAAAGTCCTGATTTCTTGATCCTACGATAGCTCTAAACCTGACTTATAGCAACAAAGAATCTACTTTTAGAATATATATATATATATATCAGAGCTTATTATGAAAGTCGTAATTTCATACATTATAAAACGGTATTGTATGGCACCAAACATTCTTCACTTTGCAATGTAGTAATTCGTGGGGTAATGGCTAGATATCATATAAAGAATTCATTTTATTTTAAATTCACAAACTACATCATCAAAAGTTATTGTCTTGGAACACAAAAATATTGTTAATAGCTATGTAAGAAAGTTTACTGTTGGCGCCAGATCTTCTTGTTCCTTATCACAAATATAGTTAACTATTCGACAAAAGATACATATAACATAAAAACGTACAAAAAAAGGAAATGAGTTGGGGTTTATAAATAATCTAGGCGAGTAACTGAGCTCGCAATTTTTAATCATTGTCTTGCATTCAAGATATAATTAAAGTTTTAATGTATTATCGGAAAATGGACATTAAGCACCAATAAAAGTAAATCGTTTTATCAATAATGCTTGATTCAACACACATTATTGTTTAACTTTGATATTTTATCTAAATATTGTCAGTCATAGGTCTGTTAATAATTATTTAACTATTAAAGTACTTACTAGTAAGTAAATCGTTTTGTCAATAATGTTTGATTCAACTTACATTATTGTTTAACTTTGCACTGAGCGAGAAGAAGAATAACATTTTCCATTTTAATGCGAAGTTTTAAAAGAAAATATTTTTTCTACATATATATATGATCTCACTATTGAATAACTTCATTAATTTCAAGCTTAGCATTACATTCTTTTTTAACTGTCATTAATCTTGAAAAAAGGTTCTGTAATTCAAGTTCAAATTTTTGATATTTTACTGAATTCAATTAATGTCACTTTTTCATTGTTAATATTCTACCCCGTTTATTTTCGTATTTAAATATTGTTACACCAACAGTCAAATGAATAGCAAATCTAAAACCAGATTCTATTTGAAAATATATTAATAGACAAAACAACGTTTACTTTACACAATAAAATTTTTAAAAATTAAAAATGACTCTACATATTTTTAAATATTTATTGTGTAAAGTAAACGTTGTTTTGTCTATATTTTTAAATAAAGTTTATTGCACAATGTTGCCCTATTCATATTTTATGTTCTATCAGAGTCTATTTTGGACCACTTTTTATTTGCTGAATAAATTAGTGAACGAGTTTTGTTGACAAGATATCGCAACCCATAGAAGATATGTTTCCTCAACGTCTAGTGCGCCAACTTCACTGTCAATGTGAAATACTCAGTAACGAGTATGCCTACCTCCTCTCAGCACTTATACAGTCTCTACTTCTCCAGAGCCTATTATGGGTCAATCACCAGACGACACTGAAGGGGATACTGTTCAATATCCGGATCATTGCAACACTAATATCACTTATTTCGGGTAATAGGGTAGGATACTATCGTGCACAACACTCGAGGAAGTCTCAGGAGCGTCCTATAAGATTTGATTTGTGCTTAACTACAAACAAACAAACCTATAAGATTTAAATCAGACCTCTTGCTCAGAATATATGACCTACAGGTTTCCTTGTTCGAAGTAGTTTATCACAAACCTAGTAGTATGACAGTGGGCATTAAAACTATACCTAGTCCGATTATATCTAAGAAAGGCTGGGCAAATGTACTCAATAACTTGCCAATATATATCGTAAAGAATTAAATGTACCCAGAAAGTACAATAAGATTTGTAAGTCCATTCACATCTAATGAAAATATCGTTCACCACTAGCTTCCCAGATAAGAATCCGTAACTAATTGGAAGAGACATGAAACCTTGACTTATCTTTGAAGTACAGGTGCCTAATTAAGTCCAAAGAAGTAAGTGAATATGGCCAAATGGAGCTCATACTGTTCTTCTAGATTCTTAGCCATTCTCATCAAGTATTTTTTTATTGTTTGACTGATATATACTCTAGTTAAAATCCTGGTGTTCATATTGAGATTATAGGAAGTGGACTGGCAACTCTTAATAGCCACGCTATGTTGAAAGTGGTCATTACAAGGAATAATTGACTTTTCAAGCTTTAAGACTTCTTTAGTGTGTGACACAGTACTGTTAATTTAAAGAAAATGTTAACTTTATTTATGTGGTGATTTCATAGAAACAAAATGAGTAATAAAATCAGAAAGTTATGTAATTTTTGTTTAAAAATTAAATCTAATTTAAAAGTTCATTGTATTATTCAACTCTCATATAATTAAAAACGCATTATTTTTTTTCTGTTTTCATTTATTTATTTTGGTAGGTCATGAGCCACCTTGTGCGCACAAGTATCGGTTTATATGTTTTATGTTAATAGGCAACAACCATGGTAAATCCCCTTCTTAGAACTCTGACATTTTCAATCTTACTTATACGTTTACACGTATTTATTTCCTTTGTCTTAATCTAACTATTCATCGAATATTGCCAATCATGTAATAATGTTTTCTTATCTCATCAATATCACGTTTATGAATCTACTGTATTACTTTTCGAAATATTTTAATAATGATTTTGGGGCAGTGCTGACGGCAAGAACTAAGTAAGAAATGGCGTATAATATATGTTTGCTCTGAACGAATTTACGCTTTCAGAAAGTATGTAGTCCGTTATCAAACCTATTCCTACGGGGAAAAGGGCATGTTCATTCCGTTGACGCCATATTGTCTTCCAACTACAAGTTTAACCAACCCTAGAAGTCCCACCAAAGTGGCCAACTACGCCTTCAAACTAAATATCAGGTCGTCATG